ATATTATGGGATGGAGGGAGTAGCATTCTAGTAGAAGTTAGAAGACTTACTGACAAGCTATTGTACATAACTAAGCAGGAGTCTCATTCCTTCAATCTGTCATCATTCGTTGCAGCAATTTTTTTTCACATGACACTGTGATGAGAGCTAGTTTCAATTGGTTATATCAGCTGATGTGATACACCAGTTCAGCGATGGCCGATGGGTGTCTTCTCATGTTTCTGAATAATTGTTTCTTAAGGTTAGTTTTTGGGAGTTTTTGTTGCAATTTTAGGCACCGTTCGGTTTCTCTCCACTCCGCTCAATTCCGCGGAGCTGCGGAGCTCGGTTTGAGCAGCTCCGTAAAAAGCTGCAGCAGCTTGCTGCGCTCCGGGAGCTGAGTCGGGGGAGTGGAGAGAAACTGAACATGCCCTTAGTCAGTGCTTTGTGTAGTTTCGAAGTCGTTCAAATTAGCTATGTTTCTAAAGTTCTACAATTTTTTGGTAGGCATGGCACAAATGCTTGTACATATAATCTCCGCCTTTTGTGTGCTTTTGCAAAATATAGAGAAGATTCATGCGCGTGTCTTTGGTGTGTGTGTTTTCAGTTCATATTTTTCCTTTTTAGCATATCCTATAATAAGTTTATAATGAATGTGGTTAGTTTAAATAATAATGTTGTCCACAAGCATTACCAACTTGTATATTACACAGATCAACAATAAACGCTGAAATGAGGGATAAATCATCAGTGCCACATCCTATATAAGTCTGATTCCAGGTCAGCTGTTTTCCTCTCCCATTTTTTTTTCAAATTTCGCTGTGCTGTTCACTTTGTGGCCTTATTTTTTTTGAGAGAGAGAGAACTTTATGGCGACCATTTTCGACAAGATTGCGCCCTCCTCCGCCTCCCTCCTGACGTTGATCATGGACGATGCCCGCTCCTGGTCCCTCGCAGGAGTCAAAGGACTCAACAACATCATCCCTGCAACGTAGCCTAGGTTGTCTGGGCTGAGCAACCCATCTCATACTCCCTTTGTATCGTGGGCATGCCATATTGTGTACGTGACCATGATGCCACTCTGTATGTTCTAACCCCTTCTATCAATGCAATGATACGCTCTTAGTAGCGTATTCGAGAAAAAAAAACTTTATAGCGAGCGTTACTGGGTCGGATATTTTCCTCCAAAAATGAACCAGGCCCGTTAGCCTGGTTCGGGGTGGCAAAATCCAGCGGGCGGGTGGATGTGTAGGTATGGGCAAGTGGACGCTGGAAACGGGCCGTCCAGGCAACTTTCGAACGAATCCGTCGAATTTGTTGCATACAGCAGCTCAAATATCAGCGACACGTGTCAACCCCTTATTGGGCAAAAAATTCGACCTAAACTGAAAACAAAATCTGTGGACTGATTGTTGGTCAGTCCCAGATTTTTCCTCCTTTTATTTTTGCGACACGTGTCAACCCCTTACTGATTGTTGGTCAAAATCCTGCGTTCTTCCTTTTATTTTTCCTCCTTTCCCCCTTGGTCCTCTACCACTCATAGTTAGCTGCTAGTTCATTCTATCTGAAGTATTTTTCGACGACCAAGTCGATGATGACCTTGTAGGCACTGGAGCTGGGGTGGTAGCTGTCCCAGAAGACGTATTTGGCGGGTTCGGCGCAGACCGGGCTGGCGAAGTTGCAGAGCACGGCCACCGCCAGCCCAATGAAACCGCAGCACGAGTCCCTGGCATTCTTGAACCCGAGCGCCTCGTGCCGGTGGATCACGTCCTCAAAGATGGCGTAGAGGTCGATGAATGTGAGCGTGACGCCAGGGAGCTTGGCGCCGAGCGTGGCCATCTTGCCCTTGATCTTGTTGTTGAACATGCTCGCTAGCTGGTTACGATCCGGGGAGCACTGCCGCCGGATCCCGCCAGAGAGAATGCGCTGCGACGGCACGCAGCCGACTGGCGGCGCCCCCGTCAGGGCGATCCTCTTGGCGCCGAGGCTGATGAGTGTCTGGATGAAGGTGATGGCACGCTGGGACATCAAGTCGCTGTACTGCTCCACCGACATGGGGTCTCCGAAGGTGAAGTGCTCCACGACGTCGTTGCTGCCCCACACGAGGAGGTAGAGGGCCTGGTTCGGGATAGTCCCCACCTTGGCCTTGTACTCCAGGAACATCTTCAGCTGCTGCTCCATCGTCAGCGCCGACTGCATGCATGCATACATACAGGGATCTCGATCAACTCATAGATATGATTTGCATGCGTGCCTACATCGACCTAGCTCCATGCATGCATCGCGAGCTCGTGTACGTTGTCATGTGTGGTGAACGCGTACGTACGACGACGTACCATGGTCCTGCAGGTGGCGTTATCGTAGCCGCTCCCGGCCGATGCGAAGCTGACACCGGTCTTGAGGTCGTCGAGGGTGAGGTCCTTCTTCAGGTACGGCGGGACATTCTCCTTCACACCAAGTGCCGCCGCTGCATTTACAAAACCATTGTGATCCACAATGAAGTGACTGATACTATCTCAATTATATATAATTGCGTATATATGTGTGTGATCGGTGATACACACGTACGTACCTAGGAAGTCAACACTGATCCTACCGTCCGAGAACCGGCCGGTGGCCTTGTGACCGGGGAAGTCCCTGCCGTAGGGCGGGAAGTTGGCCCTAACGATTGTCCTGATATAGTTGTTGTTACCTGTGTCTATAATCGAGTCACCGAAAGCAAGGATTGCGGGGTACTTGAGCGGCCCGGCAGCAGCCGGGGGAGCTGCGGGAACCTTCGGCGGCACCGGCACCGGCACCGGAGGAGGTGCTGCCGCACGCACCCCGGTGATGAGTCCGGCGAGAACTAGCAGGGCGGGGATCATGTTATACATGGTGGTGAACGCCTAGAACCGAGGACGCACACTATTTGAGACTGTGGTATGTGGTGTCCGCCATGGTAGATAAATAGGCCGTGTCCTACTCGTTCCACCAAGTGATTTGGTCTAAAAGAACACGGCAGTTGCATGCAAGATCAGCAAGACCCGGGGTGCTCACCCGCATGTCCTTGTAGGCTGACATTTGTGCAGTGATGCGATACTCGCTCTTCTTCTTTGTCTCGGGACGGTGGCTAAATTTGGCAGGTCCACCTAGGCCTAGGCATAGGCAGGGAAAATTTATGAGTCAATTACACCATCGGCGCCTAAAATGGCGAAAAAAGTCACTTTAGTGCTATAACTTGCGATGTACATTGAACCGTGCAACATCTTGGCTTCCATGTGCAAATACGGCGCAAATCGTGCTTGTGACAAAATTAATTCTTATATTAGTTGACAAAATAGCCAGCAATGACAAATAAAAAATATACTACATTTATTCACAATGAAAAAGATCTGTACAGTAGTTTTGGTGAGTATTTTCTTTGCTCTGCAGCTTCACATGGACAATAGCATTGATGGGCCCATGTGCTTCCTTACCATCTGTATGAACTATCAGACTCAGAAACAGACATCCTGACAGAGGTATGTTTATGGGAGCTTCGACTCTTTCTTTTAGATACATTGTGGATCCCCGACTTTGGAAGCCCTAGCCATCAGAGAAGCGCTCGCATTGGCCAATGATCTCTACTTGAGGCGCATCCAAGTTGCATTGGGCTGCAAAACGGTGGTGCATGATATACATAAGGAGAATTTGGCAAGCTATGGAGCAGTTATTCATGAGATAGTTGAACGTTCTTTAGCCTTTGATTTTTGTAATTTCAGTCATGAGTTTAGGAGCTCAAATTTTGAAGCTCACAACTTAGTGAAGCATGCTTTATCTCTCAGTGGTGGCCGCCATGTTTGGTTAGGACATCCCGGGAATTTACCATCTGCCCCTGTAAACATTGTGACGACTTAATAAAAGCTTCGTGAGGTTGCCTCAAAAAAAAAAGAAACAAACATCCTGACAACAGACAGATAAGGATCACAACCAAATCACGATAAACACCATGTTTTCTGGTGGTCATTCGTCGGCTTGGTATATGCGGTGGTGCATCCGTTGGAGCGGGAAGTGGTGAATGCTCAGTGGTGGTGCGTGTGACTTGGCCATTGAGCTTCACGTGCCAGGCTACCCCTGCCTCCCATTCTCATGACGGACAGCGAAGATATTCGTCGTTCTCCGGTGATGGTTGGGGTGTGCCCTCACATCGGCATTGATGCTAGCACAGTCAGCGTTGTCTGTGTTCTCAGATCTGTCGTCTCAGTAAATGCCTGATGTGTGGTGTTCACTTTGATCCAAAATTTCAGTGCTGATCGAGACATTGCATCTGGACTTCTTCTATGGCAAGTTGGTGGTGACAACACAGGGACTTCGTCTATGGTGGTGCTCTTTGAATACCAGGTCCTAGGTTCCGGGGTGAAAACCCTAGGTCCAGCCTTTACTGGTTGTACCTGGCAGTGGCGGTTCCGCTCCCTTGTTGAAGACACTGTTTGGAGCTTAGCTGGTCCTTGTCTTCTGGGTGAAAACTCACGATCTAGCCTATGTGGTTTGATCCAGCAATGATGGTGTTCATGCACCATTTCCTTGTGGAAGGCGTCGTTGTTAGGATAACCTTCTCGTCGTCCGGGTGTTGCCAATGACAATGGTAGTAGTTGATGTTTTGTTGCAGTGGGTCGTTTGCCTCGCCCATTGACCCTTTGGGTCTTTTTTCTTCTTCTTTTTGGCTATGTGCATCTTAGTTATCCAGAGGCCGGGTGTGTACTCGTTGTGTTTTGTATCCGCTTGATGCGACATTACGAGTCAATAAAGAATGCCCTTTATCGGAAAAAAATGTTGCCTCCTATGAACACATTTTTTTAAAATGATACCAAAGGTAAAGATACATATAAAGTACACCACCACCTACAAATCAAACCAAGGCAGGGGATAATCAGCTGAGTATGAAAGTCTTCTCAATTTGATGCATGTTATCCCATGGCAGCAGATATTTCTCTCCAGACACGTCTTCCTAAGAAATAAACCCTAATTTGCAGATCTTGGACATTTTGTCATTACTTCATCAGTCAGTGTGACGAGAGAGCAGTGAATATTCCATAACCAGCAAAACCAAGGCCAAAGAGAAGGAAGCCGTAGTCCAGCACTCTTCTCCATATGCTCATTGACGATCCTACGATGTTGAGGTGGAAGAAGGTAGGTAGCACAAAGGAGAGCAGCGCACAGACTGTGCACCCAACAAAGGAGACGAAGGACCCAAATGCAGGTATGAAGGATGCCATCACAGTTAAAATAGTCACCATGATGATGCGGCTCGAGTGCAGGCCTAGCCATTCGGCACAAGGAACACTGTGGGAGAGCTTCTGGAAGCATCCACTTGATCTGAGCCTTGCCTCCACAATCTCGTGGATCGGGTGCATCATAACTGGGAATGTGAATGCTAGTGCAATGCATAGGACAACCTGCCAGTAGATTTTTTGAACTTCTATATCATGCGGCAATGAAATTTACAATTTTTCAAATCTCACAATATAATAGATTCACACTTGAATCATACTTTATGACCTTATACCACCAATTATCAAGTACTGGGGCTAAAAAATATTTGACTAGAAGCAATAGCATATTTCAACAAACAATTACACGATATAGATTATGAAAACTGCACTAACCTTAACAGCAGCAGATGACCAAGTATTGGGAAGATTAAGTGTTATGATGTCCTTGGTAGCCTCACCATAGGCCATGTACCCACATACTCCAAAACATGCATACACAACTATGATGCCGACAACTGCTTGAGAAAGTACCCAACGGAACTTTCTACGTTCTGCCATTGATGATTCTAGTGCCAATGTCATGCTGAATCCTTCAAAGCAGAAGACCGCGACTCCAAAAGCGAAAGGTATCGCCAAAACTCCATTAAAAGCACTTCTATTTGCAAAAGGATGATCAATTAGTTGAAGATCTTTTCTGATAACCATTGCCACCGCTAGGACATTGCACACATCAGCAAATATACTGAATGGTGAAAGAGAGGATAGTGAAAGAATGAAGGACAACGTGATTTGCACAGGCAAGAGGACGGCAAAGATGAAGCCAGCTGATGACATCGACTGGCTAAACACAGAATGCAGATTTTCACCAATGAATACTAGGTAAGCTACAGAACCACCCGCTTGTGAGATAAGAATGAGAATTTCCGTCAAGCACCGACCTATAGTCCCAAAGCACTTCTCACCAAAATCTCCATATGTATAATTCTGGGGTTCATCAGTTTCTTCCTCTTGCAATTTATCTTTACAGTCCACCTTCAGAATAGAAATCGAAACAAGTAAATTAAGCAGCTAAAAAGTTGTTGCTATCAAAAAAGAAGTTCATAACATTGTAAAAATCATAGATGCGGCACAGTACATACACAATTCATTTTTATTATACCATCAGCGTGCTGATCAATGTGAAGTATGAACACGAATTATCAGGCAAAGTCCTGTTCAACAATTTCAACACACTGAAGAAGCAATGAACAGTAACACAGTTCAGAAAGTATGACCATTCAATTTAACTAGAATGTGAGAGGAGAAACTACCACGTTTACAGAAATACTACCAAGAACAGGCTAACGGCTTAATGCCATAAGGCTGGTCATGACCATGAATAAGCTTCCATTCTGACACTATTCCTGGAGTGCTTTGGACTACATGATTCATTTGGTTTTATTTCTTATTATTTGTGCAAAATCCTGACTGACCCTGGTTACCGTTCCTGTTATACTGGAGAAAAATATGGGATCATATTTTTCTGATGGGAAGTGAAAACGAAAATACTGAAAGTGACAAGCCTCTTTACTTTAAAGTTGGGCAGTGGGCACAGGATATCCCCAGCTGAAAAATCAATAGTGTCCCTAAACACGAAGACGCAAAAAAAATTATCCCGAGTGACCAAATACTCTAACCCTGTCGCTAATATAGTACTTCCAAGCTTCCAGCGTATGAATGATCACAACAACATGGTAGTACGGCTACGATTAATCTTCAATCGAAATGTAAATACGGACACCATGCAAGTTTGCATGGACAGCAAGTCCCAATCTGCTTAAGCTGAATGCAGTGTGGCCGTAGAACGGTAGAAGTACTCCCTCCGTTCGGAATTACTTGTCACAAAAATGAATAAAAATGGATGTATCTACAACTAAAATACATATAGATACATTCATTTCTTAGACGAGTAATTCCGAACTGAGGGAGTAGTATTTAGATGGCATCCGGTAGTGTTAATGCGAGGTAGGTAGTGTACGGTACTGACGAGGAGGAGCATGCAGTAGAGCGTGGCGAATCCGGCGGCGGCGACGCCGAGGGATCCGGCGACCCAGCCGGCGGCTCGGAAGGCGTAGGGCAGGCCGAGCACCCCCGTGCCCACAATGGACACCACCACGTTGCCCAGCGTCTGCGCCCAGGTTGCTCCTCCCCCGCCTCCACGCCGCCTCCCATCCTCCCGCGCCAGCAGCGGCGCAGCCGCCCCCTTCGCCTCAGCCATCCCCAGCAACAACCGTGGCGGCGGCGACGCCGAGACAAGAGAAGTAGCAGAGCTTTTCGAAGTGAATTTTGATTTTGGAATCTGATTTGGCGCACGAGGGAGCGAGAGGAGGAGCCGTCGTAGGATGGTGAGCGGGATGGGATCACCTTGGGGCTTTCTGGATATCTGTCGGACACAAAAGCTTCGCTCACACGCGAATCGGCCGAGTATACTGAGCGCTACAACCTGTGTTGCATGATCAGTTTACAATCCGTTTGGTTATATGAATGGGATTTCGTATCTGTGGCCTGATTTAGCCTAGCCGGATCTTTCCCTAATCTCTCCTTAATAATAAAGTACGGATTGAATCTTCGGGTTCACCGTGGCAATACGCTTTCTTCTCATGTCATAATACGCTTTTACGATTATGTTTTGGAATTAACCGATGTGGTACTAACTTAAAGTTTGTTTTCGCCTCCATGGTAGTACGATGGCAGACTTGGGCCTGCTTTAGTCTAGCCCATACACGTACAACTTTTTATAATCGTCCCGTTGCTAGGTGCTCGCGCTCCGCGAGGTCGACGGTCGCTGCACCTTCCTCATCCATATGCCGTAGCCTTTGGCCCTTTGCTTCCTGCAGCGGCAAGCAGCAACAAAACTAGGAAGAATTGTGTGACGTGCGGTGCTAAGGTTGGTGGTATGATCTATGCGCCGAGTGGGATGGCAGCTGGAAACTGTTCGATCAAAACATGAGCGCTGCTCATATGAAGTAGGATGCATGTACCACATTAATTCAATGTTCAGTTATCTTGTGAGGGCCGGCGCCGAAGGAAACACCCAAGATACGTGTGTGCGTGTGATAATATATCGTACGTGGTACATTTGATCAATCATCACAGTGTAAATCAGCAGCAGCCAACAGCACACAAATTCTTTTAAATACCAAAAAAAATCCTTACTTATTTAAACTCAAAATTAAGCTACTGTTGTTCCAAAAAAATACTAGAATCCACTTGAGTTTCAAAACTATATTCTGAATTATTTTAAGGTTACTTACATATACTTAATGCTTTCATTTAATCTTTTAAAGTGGATATTTACATTTGTTTTAACAGTTTATATGGTGGATAAATTATTTGATATATAAAATATATTATTACTTTTTAAATAACATTAACATGAATTTGACTCTCGTATTCGATAAAAGACACTCCAAAAAAAATGATTGCAACAGAATATAGATTATAATTATGTTTTATTTGGAACATACATAAGGAGCCGCTGGAACTACCCAAGGAGTTTTAAGGAAAAGCTCACAGGGTGAATTATAATTTTTTTGGTGTTAACTTAATCTATAATGTACGATCCGTTCTTTCTTTCTTACTGATAAAGAGGAAAGGAAACATCGACAACTACACATGCACACCTGCGAAAAACCTCACAGGAAAAAAGAACATATTTCTCATGTTATTTTGAGCGAAGTGTGCGCGAGAGAGAGACGCCTTAGAACTGACCGCATTCAAACATGCTTTCGTTGTGTGAGCACTGAGACCACTATCAACAGCACAAATATGATGCCATGTGAAAATAAAGGACGTGAACACATTAGGGTCTCGAGTCATGGTTATTGGGTTAAGAATATGTGTTATTTACTCTCCCGTTGCAACGCACAGGCTCTTTTGCTAGTAATAATAAAGCACGGATTGACTTTGTCGGGTTCATCGTCACAATACGCGTTCTTCCTGTGAATTTACGCTTTCAGTTTGAATTTAAAACGTATAAGCAAGGTGGTACTAATCCAGTCAAATTGCCCGACTGATTTTTCACGCCGGCTGCATGGAATTACTGGGCCACCGCAAAAATTTGTGGGAATCGACCTCATGACCTTCTGTAAGGCTCTTGGCTCCAAGAACCAATTAAGGGGGTGTTTGGTTCAGAAGTCCTAGGACTTTTTCTAATCCCAGGGACTAATCAAAAAAGACTCCCTAAGCTATCAGTCTTTCATGTCTAATTGTCCCACCTCGCATTTTTAAATCAATTCACACCGGTTAATTTACCAGTCACGTCGGGAATCATCAAGCAGACCGAGAAAATCAGCCACCTGATTGGAGCGCGGTAATTAAACTAATGGGCTAATTAAAGAAAGTATCGTGGGCATAAAAAAAGAAGGAAAGACCGTGGGCTCGGATAATTAAAGGAAAGCTGTGGGCTTGGATTTTGATTGTGATTGTCATAATGCTCATAATAAGGCACCTACTAATTAAAAGGAAGGATTGGGCTTGACTGTGAGGTGGGGCTGGAAGGATTGATTGAGGGCATACACCTATTGAGGGACAAGCACTTTGCGCTCAGAATGGAAATAAATTAGAAGGAATAAACTTTGTCCCGCCTCAAGGAAAAAACTAACGTGATCATCAAGAAAAAAACTTGGCCGTGCACGTTTTAATTTAACCTGATCACTTCCTATCCAAATCCAATATAGGAAGTGTCACACGTTTAAACTTTTTGTGTCATTAAAATGTGTTTGTGCCTTTTGAAATATGTCCTCTAATTTGTAGAAATCATTCATGCACTTTAAAACGTTTGCGTAGTTTTAAGATAATGTTCATATAATTTGAAAGATGTTCACCACTTTCTCAAAAACAAATTTCATGTCATTCTAACAAGTGTTCACGTGCTTAAAAATATATTCATAATTTTAAAAATATTCATGCTCTTTAAAAAACCATGTGATTTAAAAAGTAGTTATGTGTCTTAAAATTTTCAAATAAATAAAATATACAATTTAAAAGTGAGTGGGCGTATGAGGCATGATGTAGGTCGTAGTTCAGGAAGCACGGACGTCATGTTAAGCTCGACGAGATTAGTTTTCAGGTTACTAGACATTCACTTGCAATGGCGTGGTTCAGTGACAGGTGTGTATGTGTGCGGTGGCCAAGATAATCATATAGCAATTCACCACGTTGGACGCACAGCTATCAGGTGGACACCGTGACCATGGTCGATAATAACTGTGATATGTTTTCTTCTCCCGTAGCAACACACGGGCATTTTTTGCTAGTGAATACATACAGGTAAAAAAACACATGTTTTTCACTCCCCTTCTGCATGGCTGAGTAGAAACACACGTAAGTTGGATATATTCAAAAAAAAAAAGATGTTTACTTGGAAGCCTGTGGTATGCAGATGTAAAGTGTTTTTTAGGTGTCTAGCTCAATGACTTTTGTCGCCTAGGGCCACGACCTAGGGTTCTCCTGTCCTCCGGCGCGCCGCCGCTGAGAGTTTCACATTGCAGTTGAAGAGCGCTGCCAGGCGCGCCTTGTTCCTGGATTGGCCTCCCACGGGGCGGATCTAGTTCGTTTCTGTCTCATCGCAGACTAACCCTTGCGGGGCTGTAGTGAAGGATTGTAAGTCATGGCGACACAGGACGATGCAAGCAGATCGAGGGGCAAGAGCTCGGAAGACCCTAGTAGCCTCCTGGAGAGGCTACACCTTGAAGAGGACGAGCTTGATAACCTTGTTTGGGAAGAAGAAGTAGAGGAACCGGAAGAAAAGCCCAAGTGGTTGGCGCTGGCTAGGGTTTTGACAAAGAAATCTTTCAGTCAAGGGGCCTTGATAGAAGACATGAAGGCGACATGGAATTCAAGGTCGCAACGGGGAAGGGGGTGACCGGGGATGACTCCACCATCCCCGCCCCGATCCCCGCCAATCCCCATACCCACGATCCCCGTGAAGCTTCGCGGGGACAAAACGCCCCCCATCCCCGTTAATATCGGGTACCCGGTACCCGTCGGGTATCCATGGGGATTTCAAAGCCCACTAGGATAGGTGAGATTGAAGAAGACATGGTCGTTGAGAGAGGTGGAGAAAAATGATTGTGTGAAATATCTAGGTATTAATCTATATATTCTGCATTTGTAGTACAAATGGCATAGTTTTCGGGTATCCATGGAGTCCCTACGGGGGAAATTTTATACCCATCCCCGCTCCACGAGACTAACGGGTACCCACCAGAGAATACCTATGGGGCTAATTTGTCCCCCATCCCCGCTCCATGACGGGTAAATCCCCGCGGGTACCCGTCCCCACGGGGAATATTGCCATCTTGACATGGAATCCCGCCAGAGAGGTGGTGTGGCGCAGAATTAATCCAAATTTGTTCTCTATTCAGTTCAATTGTTTGGCTGATTGGAACAAAGCAATCCATCAAGGTCCTTGGGACTTTAAAGAAAAGGCGCTGATGATTGCAGAATATGATGGGTTCAAGAACCCTGAAACGGTGAAACTTGACAGGATCGAGACATGGTGTCAGATTCATATGGTCACTGACATGGTTCTAAAAAGGGAGCAATTTGTCAAAAACATGGCAGCAAGAGTTGGAGAGGTGACGGACCTTCAGATCGTTCTCCCTAATGGATTTGTTGGTGAGTTCATCAGAGCTAGAGTTAAGCTAGATGTCAACAAGAAATTGACTAGATTTGTCGGTTTCACAAAGGCAAGAGAGACTAAATTCTATCAAGTCAAGTTTGAAAAGTTGCCGGTATTTTGCTACATGTGTGGCTTGTTGGGCCAGTGGCATGAATAGTGCGGCACCGGGGAACACGCTGTTGATAAGATGGAATGGGGGCCCTTCATTATGGCCCCAAGGAGAGGACATGGTGGAAGAGGACGCGGTTCAGGCCGTGGCAATGGTCGGGGTGTCCAAGGTGATTTTGACGCAGACCCTAGCGGTAGCTTTGGCAGAGGGCGAGGAGCCGGTAGAGCTGGTACAGAATATGAAAAGTGGACATATAATGATGCTTTTAATCCAGAGGGGGATCCCGAGAGAGTTGATGCTGCCATGGGACAACACTTGGTGAAAAGTGCTACCTCTTGAGCACTGCGTTGGATTTCCCAGAAGAGGAGAGGATGATGCAGCAAAGTAGCGTAATTATTTCCCTCAGTTTTTGAGAACCAAGGTATCAATCCAGTAGGAGACCACGCACAAGTCCCTCGTACCTACACAAAATGATAGCTACTCG